ATGTATATCTTTTATGTATCTAAAAATTGTTATGATATCCTTCACTTTAGTAAGAGGAATGAAATTAAGCTTAAATTATTAATCATCATTTATGATATGCCACTAGCTAGCTTACATTGTGTTGCATATAAATTTTTTAAACTTATATGATTTTTCAAAAGGACGTGCATGAAAATTTAAATTTGAGAAGGAGATGGAGTAATGATAGTAACAAAACCTTGTAGAAAGAAAGAAATGAAATTTAAAATTAAAATAGAGAAAAAGGAATTTCAATTTATAAGTAATGTAACCTTCTAGAGAGGGTGAGAGAGGAAAGAAGAGAGGAAAGAAGAGATGAAATCCACACCAGTAAGATATTGATAAATGGCCAAATTATCCTCAACCTTTACTAAAAAGACCTCTATTCTTTGACCAATTAAAGGAATAATTATTCATTTATTCTCTTTTGTCTACCCTCACAATTTTTTTATGTGGTATCATTAGTTAATTTGCCCGTGCATTGATAAGAAATAGTTTCTAAAAATTTAATAAAAAAATTATAAATAAATAACTCCTATTAAAGACGTATCTATAAAAAGATTTCTTTAATTTTGTAGGAGCGAGAGTTGCGGGTAACCTATAACACATTATTATTTCCTTAAATTTATATTTATTATTAATATATTTTAACTATTAGCACACTTTTTTTACTCATTTATGTGGCAAAGAGAATTTTTTCCACTATGATATTGTATCTCAGTTTTCTATTTTCTACAAATTATATATATCATTGATCTGCATATCAAAAGACTTCCATATTAATTTTCAAATAAATCATCTTTGAAAGATCTCAACCATCACAACTATTAATTTAATTTTCTTATTACAAAATTTAACATTATTAGAAATACTTTATTATTTTGAATCACAACATTTTTTTAAACCTCTAATTCAAAGCATTATTTGTAAATGTGGTAGAAAAATTTGTCCAACACAAATCATAAATTTTTTTAATGACTCAACTATGAATTGAGAAATGCCCCACTATTCCTTCACTTTTGTCTACTCTCACAAAGATTTTTAGGGAGTAGTATTGATAAATACATATTATGGATATTCTAAAGCTATGTTTGTCTAAATTAGTTTGAAGACAAATATATAATAATAACACTGAAAATAGGGTAAAGATACGCTAATCACTCGGATTAATTTCAGACAACTATCAGATTAATGGAGTTAATTTGCAAATTAATTATAGATTTTGGGGATTCTTCTCGAATTACGGTTGATGATTCGAGGAAGCGGCCCATCTCCCACGAGAAGGCCTGCGAAGTCACGTGAGGGAGCCGGCTGCAAGTTGCAACCTTCTATTCCTCGCACGAGGAAATCCTCAACAGGAGTGGTGGGTCCCGTATTGGCCCCCAAAGCAGAGCGGTCCTTTCCTAGGGTCCCGATTACGTGCCGCCTACGAACAGAGTCTTTCCGCATATCCTTTCTTTTTGTTTTTTTGTTTTTGTTTTTGTTTTTTTTTTATTTTGGCCTTCGGGTTCAATTTCGGTGTTGGGGGGCTGTTACTTACGGCTAAAGATTCAAGGGGCCAAAAAGTAAGTGGCCAACTAATGCATAATCGTATGGAGACAAAACTAATAATATTTGGCCTACCACCGACTGAGTGATTCCTCAGAGGTCAAAGCCCAATTTTATAAAATTGAGAGTCTTTTATAGAAAAATAATATGGTTGAAAATCAAGTCTATATGCGTAGCTCACAATCGAAGGTGGGGCTAGGAGTTAATGACGTATGTGCGGCCGCTTCTTCACAGATAAATATAATAATATTCTAAAACGTGGGAAACGGAGATTAGTTACGTTCATTTACTCTAACTACGTGGTTTATTTAACGGGGTGATTGTGGATTATGTGTGTTAATCATGAGAGTACTGTTGTATACAAAAAAAACTCTTGGATTGTCCATGCAATTACATTATACTTGGTCCTCCAATTACCTAAATATAATCAATCCTTAAAAAAGATGCATTATTATCTACTCCTCTATACAAACAGGAGAATCCGAGATTCACTACTCATGCTACAGTAAATGCTAAAACAAGCATTTACTGTAGCAACATGAGATTTAGATTTTTTTTTTTAAAATTAATGTAACACACGTGGATACTGTAGCAGAAAGCGGGATACTGTAGCAGCCAAAAAAGTTTAAAAATATTGTAGCAGTTAAAACCGGGGGGGGGGGGGGGGGCAATGCCGTGGTTTGTACGGTGTTCACACTAGTCTTTTAAATGCTAGAACCCCATCAAGATATCATATAATATTTTTTAGATATAAATCTTTTGGAAAGAAAATATATGTTGGACTGCAAAACTTCAACCTTATTTTATAGGTCCACAAAACCAATTTATCATGACTGAAGTGTGAAATAGGGATTTTTGGCACAAACCTCACGAGCATGACGTATAAGTCCATTTCGTTGAAGCGTCTCATTCACTTAATTCTATTTCCTTTAGATAATGATGATAATAAATAAATAAATAAATAAATAAATCAATCAGTTTATTATACTGAAGGGAAAAAAAAGAAAAGAAAAAGAAAATAATGGTGAACTATTAAAAAGAAAATAACGTTACCAATCCGATAACCCAAATGCACTACAACGACTTGCAAGCTAGTGAACCGGTTAAAGGTCCGTACTATATTCGACTGCGGACCGCTGAGCTTTGGATTGGATTCGAATCTCTGATTATAATTTACCATTTATATTAAAAAGTTTTTTTTAAATTTTTTTTTGAGTCACCTTGTTACATATTTCACTTTTCAGATTCTTTAGTTTTCACAAGCCTTGGTGGCGGCACTATTTAACTGTTGCTTTCTATAAAATGTTTTTCCTCTAAAAACCATATTAAAAATAGGGTCATTTTATAAGAACCATATTTTATTTTTAATTTGCACGTAGTAACATTTAATGCGAGTTTTTGTTCCAATGAATCATCTCCATGTAAAAATACATTTAGCGAAAAACCAAAAATATGTTTTAATTCAAGACATATGACTCACTTGTTTAAAATTTAGCTAGGAGGTGGTTGATTGGACAAAAAATCACTTTAAAAATAGTTTAAGTATAAGTAAAAAACGATAAAATTCCCCTATTTTTAAGTTGGTTTCTATGAGAAACCCAATTCTATAAAAGCAAACACTCACCAAGGAGTTCAACTTTAAATGTCCAAATGAGTATCTCGAAAACAAAAATTACAAATTCATTTTGAGCAAGAATATTATATTAGAATTCCAAATCCAGGGTGTCATTGAGAGTTTCTTCTCAGCTGTGGACAAGATATAGTAATTGGGATTACCAAAGTTTTATCAGGGGATTATATTGGTTGTTAATGAGTCGTTTCTTTTGGGGCCCTATCATAGAATGCTTGGGCTTTAGCCGAAACTACAACCCAATATTTTCGCCTTGTAGTGGCTACTTTGGCATAAGGGGCTGTTTGGTTGCACACTTTTTGAGAAAACTTTTCTCAAAACATCTGACAATGGCAAATTTATAATTAAATTTTTTTAGAGATTTCTGTAAATTGTGTTTGGTTCAACAAAAAATTTACAGAAATATTTTCTATAAAATATCAAAACCTACCAAATTTTACAAAAAACAATTTCCTCTCAAAATGAGAGGAAATCACCAGAAATCTGATACATACCATATTTAATTAAAAACCTACTAAATATTATTATTTTCTATAAAGTTATGAGTCATTTTCTTGTTTTGAACCAAACAAGCACAGTACAAAAAACAAGAAAATTGGTACTTTTTGATTTCTCAAAATTTTTCCTATAATTTTTTTAAGAAATACAAGGAAATCATATTTTAAGTGGAAAACATTTCCTATAATTTCTAGAAATTGAACCAAACACCCCCTAAGAAAACTTGCAGATAAAACTGAAAAATAATTGTAGCCATAATCACTGATGCTTGATTATCGTAATTCGGATTTTTCTTTTCTTCCCTAAAATAGTTGTAGTTAAAAAATAATATATTTTTTGCAAACCATCAATTTTTTCGCTATTTCTTTTTGAAGAAATCATGTAAGAGCATCTCCAACAGCTTCCTCAAAATTTTCTCCAAAATAGAGAAACAAAAGTCATATTCTCCAAATTATTTTTGCTCCAACTCCAACAGCTTCTCCATTTTGAAAAATCGCATTTATTACAATAATAAAGCTCTCCCCAAAAATGTGGAGAATGCTGCAGATTTGGGGAAGGCTCCCTATTTTTTCTCCTCCTTCCCTATTTTGAGGAATGGGATGAGGAATCTGTTGGACCAAAAAAAAGCTCTATATTCTCCAAATTTGAGTATTTCAAGAAGATGGGGAAGCTCTTGGAGATGCTCTAATGTTGTTAATTTGTTGTCCTTTCCATTGAAGAGCATGTGATCAAACATACAGGATGCATGCATATAATCAAGGGTAAATTGTAAACATACCCTTTATAATATCTCCCAAAATTCAAGGAGATTCCCTATAGTTCTATTTGTTGTGAACAGATCCTCTATAGTTCTACTTGGGTCGGTAGTATAGGGGTCTAATCGCAACAAGTGAAACTAAAGAGGGTTTATTCGCAACAGATATGTGATTTCAATAGGGTGATAACCACGGGGTTCTGTTGGCAATTAACCCTGCGATCAACATAGAGAAGCAAAGAAACGGATATTCCTATACCGGACCCGGATCCAAAACAAAAAACCGACCCCGACATTTAATCCTCACGCGCGATCCACGTGACCTTGACCCCTGCAAGATCCCCATATTCCACCAAATCAAGGGCACGAAACTCGCCGTCGACGCGCGACCAAATCCGCAAGCGGACCCCACAATGCGCGGCGGAAGGCAACGCAGGCCCAGCAAACTCTCCGTCGGCCGTCGATCCGAGTCCGTCGATCTTTCCGCCAAAAACCAGTTCGCCGGATTGCGCCTGCCGTCCACCGGCCCCGTAAACGCAATGGCACCGCATGCAGTAGCTCCTCATCCGACGACCCCAGCTGTGCGCATCCATCTCTCCACCTCCTCCGTCGTCGCTTTTATGGACCCCACTCCCTCCTCAGATCCCGCAACCCCCGTTCCCATGTATAATTACGATCCTGCCGTCGGTGGCCGAGGGTTAGGGTTTCACGACGAGGACGGAGATCTAGAGGAGGAAGAGGAAGAAGAAGTAGAAGAGGAAGAGGATCGGTACGAGAGCGAGGGGAAGGGCGAGGGCTTTCTCTCGATCGGTGGCGTTAGGGTTTACACCGAAGATTGCTCTTCTCCTGATGAGGAGAGCGGGGACTCGATGGGATCAGATTCATCTGAAGAGGAGGAAGAAGAGGGAGAATCAGCAGATGAATCTTCTTCCTCTGACGATCACGATGACGATTCTGAGATTGATGATGAGACGGTCGAAGATTATCTCGAAGGGATCGGTGGGAGCAGCGAGATACTGAAATCGGGATGGTTAGCAAAAAAGAAGGATCTTGAAGAGCAGTTTCTGGAATCTGAGAGCAGTAGCGGCGATGATGATGGTGGTGGTGATAAGTTAGGGGCAATTGAAATGATGAATGTTTCACAGGAGTATGGAGTGCTGAAGAAGAAGAAGAAGAAGATTAATTTTAGGAAGGGGAAGGGTCAGATCAGTTCGCCAATGGTGGATTTTGGATTGTCGGCCGCAATGGATGATTTGATGTTTGTGAAGGATCCGAGAAATTTTTCAGGCAGGAGGAAGAAGAAGAAGGCTGTTCCTCAGCTCTCCAGATCGTGGCCTCGTGAGGGGCACAGGAGTAAAGAGCATTACAGTGCTTCAGGTATATAGTGTATCTTTTATGTTGATTTTGATAGCTATCAGAAAAGTAAATTGATCACTGAAAATAAAGCTTGCGGTATGGGTAGGACATAATCCTTGATTTGAATGTAGTATTAAGCAAAGCTTTTCTCATTCACACCAGTACTGTTTTGTTTACATAATAAAGCTAACTGTTTTGATGATTTTCTTGTTTCGAACGATTACAAGATAAACAAATTGATTTCTCACACTTGATATTTCAGATACTACTCGCAATTTTTTCTTGGTAACTTACATCTACATCTACATTATGGGTTGATATTCGTTGAAATTGTCTACTCAGATGTCATTTAATCTGCAAAAGATAAAATCATCGAAGAGCTTCATACCTCGGTTATATTTTTCAGCAGTACCTTCTGTCAGTTATAGAAGTTAAAGTTGCCATAAAGGTTACCATTAAAATCTGAGTTAGATTAATGCATCAAGTTGCATAAATTTTTGCTCCTTATAGCGTTTTCCATCTTTGTGGTCACAAAGATGTATATTATTGCACATAAATTTTTTCGGTTGCCGCTAATGGAGTATATTTAACACGTCATACATCTTTCAATTGGCAATGTGAGAGTGCACAACTTGCAATGTTTTGCTTGGTATCTTTATCTGTATAGGGTCTGTTCTCTTGTAGTTAGGATCTGGAACATAGTCATTCATGAGTTGCAATTGCACTTCCCAGAGATATGATGTTGTTAGTTTTAGAGATATAATCTAGTAGATATGGTTGGTACTATCAAAAACATGCATGATGGAAAAAACTAGGGCAATAATAAATTGGAGGATAGGCAAGGGAATCCTCTATCACAAAACCCACATCTGTATTATACATTAATTGAATGAAATCCCCAATATTTTGCATATAGTATAAATCGATGGTTAAGAAATCCCTAGGATTGACTGTTTTTGTTATTTATCAGTTGAGATTGGAGGATAGGCAAGGGAATCCTCTATCACAAAACCCACATCTGTATTATACATCAATTGAATGAAATCCCCAATATTTTGTGTATAGTATAAATCGATGGTTAAGAAATCCCTAGGATTGACTGTTTTTGTTATTTATCAGTTGAGATGGTAAGCTCGAGAAAGATATGACTGTTTAAATAAATCATGATGCTTTCAATGGGAAGTACTTTTGAGGGTTTACGTGATTATAGAATACACATCAAATTGAACAAAAGGTTCTATAAATTTTATTATAATACTAACAATAATTTATGGATTAGAACAAGTGCAATTGAAGGCAACATGAAAAAGCATGCGTAGCAGGACTGGGAATGCTGAAGTGGATTACTGGAATTGCAATAGGATGTTTTTTGAATGAATGGTAATGCACCTAGAAGATGTTTTGTGTATGTAGAATGGAGTCAAAATCATTGTTACTTAGGAGAAGTGAGAGGATTGATGTTTACAAAGCAATAAGAACTGGAGTTAGCTCTAGCTAACATAGTTGAATGAGAGAGGGGATGCATGTATCTGACTCCAAAAATGCTTTATTGGTGTTGTCATCCTGGTTTTGCTGCAAAGGGTGCAGAGAGATGGCCGGAACTGGGATGCATTTGAAGGATCTTGTCTTACCATTGCATTGAAATCTACATACCTAGTGAGACTGTAATTGATGAATTAGTGCAATCCAAAGGAAAAATACTTTATTGCTCTTACGCTACCTTATTTAGGGTCTGGGTTTATATAAATGTTTGCCTATGTTTCAGGTGGAAAAAAGAAGCAACGTAAAGAGCTAATAGCTGTGAAGCGCCGACAACGTATGATTAATCGTGGTGTTGACTTGGAACAAATAAATCTGGTAAGCTAAACCTCTGCTTATATATCTTATTAGTATTGTGAAAATATTAGCTGATACTGTTACCTAACATTTTACTTTGCTCTCATTCTATTTGATTAAGATCTGTGTCCATATTGATGACGTAGATTGATGACGCCTTCTATCTACTGATGAATGACATTGTCACCATATGGAGTATTTTAGTGTCATGTCGCTGAGTAAGACCCCTATAATAGAGTATGGAACCCAAAACAGTCCTTAGGTAAAACTGGTATCTGCATAAACTAACAAATTATGCCATAAACTGGATAGATCAGGTCCAATACTAAGATAAATCTGAACTTTCTGTCCGCAATAGTTTCTAAATTTCATTGTTCTTGGCTCTTCTTATTGTTCTCAACTATGTTGTTTATATATCTTGTTGTCATGCAGTCTCTACCTTTTACAGTTTCAGGAAATACATATACCTTATTTTTCATGTTTTCTGTCATTAACTTGCCCCCCCAAACCCCAACAAACCAAAAAAAAAGAGGAAGAAATAACAAGAAAGCACAATCACACGAAACTTTTGATTTTATTTTATTTTTTAAAATCTAAACTTGGTCTGTAATCTGCAGAAGCTGAGACATATGGTCATCAACAAGGTTGATATGTTCTCATTCCACCCCATGCATTCTCGCGATTGTTCTCAGGTATTCTTTTCTGTGTCGTCCCTTTGTCATGAAGTTCTTATTACTGTGCTTTCTTGCAGTTTTTGATATTCTATTTTCTCCTTTTAACATTGCCTTAAACAACTGCATGAGTTATGCAATGCATTTCATGGTTAAGATGTTATATTAACTAGAAAATGTAATATGTTCGGGAAGACATAATCCATCAGTAGAAGTTTTTAGTGTGCTATATTGAATTCAGATAGGAAATTGTGCTTTGATCCCTGCAAAAAGTTCTAAAGCTTTCTGATCTGTTATTAGGTTTATGGCTTTAAACTGCAGTCCCTCAATTGTTCACATGTTGATTTTGGCATGTATGCAATTGTGATTTGTCATTGTAAGACATAGAACATTCAACACTAGAACTTTATGTCTGTTTGCTGGTTGGACAAGATTGATTTAATGGCATGTTTCTTAGCTGAAAGCTTTTATTCTCCTTATGTTATTTCATTCCTCTTGTCATTTATTTTTTTCGCTTCTCTAGGTGAAACGGCTAGCATCAATTTATCGCCTACAGAGTGGCTGTCAAGGTTCAGGGAAGAAGAGGTAATCATACATGATATATGTTAGAGTTAAAAAGTCTGATCATGATGTTAATAGGAATTTTGTGATATGGTAGCAGGACTAACATGCTGGATCAAATTAAACAGATATTTGAGACATGTTTTCTTACCATCTTCTATTTACCTTTTAATTTAGTGAGATCTATAAATCTACAAGCTGCTGCAATTGACATGCTGGAAGAGAATTTGGTGAAGCTTGTTAGTGCATTGACCCTTGCAATAAAATAATATATTAAGTTTGCTCCTTGAATTCTACTGCCATATCCTCAAATTCTTCAGAATTTTTGCTGACTGTTGAAGAAAGGCATTGTAAAAGCAAACAGTTTCTGTTGATCCATGCTGTTACTAATTGTTTTTTAATTGCTTGCTTGGTAACTTTTATGTTGTATTTGTGAAGCTTGGTGAATTGCTCCCAGTATCAATAGGACTACCTTTGTTAGTTAACCAGCGACAATAATTTTCATTGGTAGGGTGATTAGCCCAACAGCAAATCAGTAATCGCTGGTGTTACCTGACAAATTACTGTTTACAGGTTTGTGACTGTGACACGGACTGTTCAGACATGTCTGCCATCTGCATCTGACAAGCTCCGCCTTGATAAGGTATTGCTCTTCTAATACATACTAGCAAATGGCACATGTCAATACAATATGCATGCTTTTGAAAAATCTCAGTTCCCATTCTAGCTTGGTATGATGTTCCTGACTGTCCAATCCAATTTCACTACTACTTGGTTTCACTCTACTAGGTTATTGATTATTAATGAATGTAGTCGCCGATGTTTAGATCCTACATTTAAGCAGCTAACTTATTTGCTTTTGCTAATTAATTCCTTACAACAATACCAGCTTTTGGGAGAAGGCATGGATGAAGACTTCACCATAAATAACGAGAGCAAGAGGACACCTCAGACACAGCCAAAAAGTAGATCAAAGACAGGTAAGAAGCTCTCATTACACCAATCTGCTCCACCAAAGCTCTCAAAAACTGGCGATTCTAGCGGGAAGAACAAACGAAGCGAGAAGAAAGGTTCAGCTGCATACTCTGAAAGGCCAGTATCGTTCATATCTTCTGGCGTTATGGAAGCAGATTCTGCAATAAAGGCAGCAGTTTTGGATCCCAACAAAAGCATCGTAACTGAGAAAGCTTCAGATACCAGCTTTTCTAAAGTTGGTGCTTTTGAGATGCATACTACAGGTTTTGGTTCAAAGATGATGGCCAAGATGGGATATGTCGAGGGTGGTGGATTGGGAAAAGATGGGCGAGGAATCGCTTCACCAATTGAGGCGATACAAAGACCCAAGTCTCTAGGACTAGGTATTCAGTTTGATGAAGTGAATAAAGATGCAGATGTCTATCCAAAAAAGAATAAGATGGATGCAAATGGCTATCGAAAAAAGAGAACGAGTTCAAAATCTGGAGCAGAGAGTATTGGAGCCTTTGAAAAGCATACTAAAGGATTTGGCTCCAAAATGATGGAAAGAATGGGATTTATTCCGGGTACAGGATTAGGGAGGGATGCCCAGGGTATTGTTAGCCCGCTGACTGCAGTTAGAAGGCCCAAGGCCAGAGGACTGGGATCAAAGCCTTGAGCCTTTAGAAATTACTTATTAGTTATATCAGTCTCTTCATTATGTAATTTATGTTAATTTGTATTTCTGTTATTGACATAAAACATGTAAGTATCATTTCTCTATGTAAGGAACAGATGTCAGAAAGGATCTTACTTTCTGCAAAGCAAAGTGACCAGGAAGTTTAGTTGTATGTTGCAGAATAGTTATCATTCCAGAAATTTGTGGCGATCGAGTTAATTTCATGTTCATTCCAGTCACCGCAAATACCAGAAATAGTGTTCCGATGTGGAGGCAGGATATTTTGATAAATTTTCATGCATTCTAACATCAAGTAGAGAATAGAGTGCTGTTTGAAGCGCTGGGCTGATTTTACGAGTATCTATCTCGATACGGCTCGGATATGATGCTTATCATATCCATATCTCCTTACTCGTATCGGATACGGATACGGATATATCTCGGCAAAAAAAATTCATATCCATATCCATATCCGCTAAAATCGGATATGGTTACGGATATACATGCGGATATGTACACGGATACAAAACGGGTATGAGAAAACTAGATAGTATTGAGGGAAAATATAGTTCATGGGGGATACAAACGAGTTCGTTAATATGTTTATTATAACTAAAAAGTTAAGATTAGACATCTTGATCATCAAAAAGTTAAGATTCAGATATTTCGGATACGGATACGGATATTTTACTATAAAACCATATCTGTAACCATATCCTATCGGTTATAGATTTGAGTTACCATATCCTTATCCTAACGGATACAGATACATATATTTTTTCGGATACGGATACGGTTTAGCACCCCTAATCATAAATCCACAGTTCCTATATTAGCCGGACCGTTTTAGTGTTTTCATTCCCAGGATCATCTGTTACCTGGCAACGTGCTAGCTGATGCGACATGCTAGCTGATGCGTATACGTCCTGTTTTGCCTTCAGCTAATTGAACTCCGGGGGTGCATTTTCTTGTTTTTGCTCCTCTCAGAGCATAATCTTTATTTCCCATTCCAATGTAATAAAATGTCAATAATTACCCACCTCGGGTGATTTGGATGGTTGAGAGGTTTCAACATAGCTCCCGCAGTCTTGGGGTTTAATTGCGAACTGGTTAATAAAAATATATGTATATTCTCCTTGTGATTGCTGCATTTTGGATGCTGATTATGTTCGTGTATCCAGTATCTCGGGTCATTTGACTAGCCTCTTGAGTTTAGGATTGGCAATAATACTTTCTGAATCTTGATATGGAAACATTGATGATTGTTATGATGTTGGTAATAAGGGTCCGTTTGGTTGGTTTCGGAGGAGCCCGAAAGCTGCCACAGATGGGACATATGTGGCAGCT